CTGCTGGAGAAAGGTGACAGATTGAAACAGCCTAAAACGTGTACACAAGAATTTTATAAAACATTGCAGAATTGTAAGTGCAAGCATAGACCTAGGGTCTATGGTGCAACATACACACAATAGTAGCATCTGACCTTTGACAGATAGCCATTTTGCATAAATGAAGCAACATAGTATGAAAATATTGAATTGCTATATTGATTTTTATCATGTAACAGCTAGTGCACAATAGTTGTCAGTTTAAGTAACATGTAACACATCCTTTTAATAGTGTAATAAGGCTATTGAGAAAATTACAAATTACTTTAATGAAGTTAAAATACATTTTTAGGTTGGGAGCTAGAGCCTGAGAGACGACCATCTTTTGAAGACCTTGTCTATCAGTTTAATACCATGATGATGTCTCCCAAAAAATATGTAAAAATAAAAAAAACTAGAGCTTTGAGGGGAGCTGTGTATGATAGTCATGACAGCAACAAAAAAAGAGAGCAATTTTCATAAAGGTAGACTTAAAGACACACACAAAAATTCTAATGATAAAGATGGTTACGTTGATTGCTTACATGAAGATTCCAATGATAAGGATGGTTATGTTGATTGCTTACATGAAGATTCCAATGATAAAGATGGTTACATTGATTGCTTACATGAAGATGCTAATGATAAAGATGGTTACGTTGATTGCCTACAGGAAGATTCCAATGATGGTGACGTTGATTGCTTTAATGAAGGTGCTAATGATGCAGTAATAATGAAGACATTGGCTACTTCAATTGTTTGAAGTGGATGAAATGGGTATATTGACTGTTTTTCATTGATTAATTTTACAGCAAAATAAATGTAATTTGTAGATACTATAGCTATTTATAGTAATTTTTATGTTTATTGTTTTACTGTCTGACCTTGGTTTAAAACCTTTTATGACATCATTCATTTTAAAGAAAGCCCCTAAATTACTATAGTTTTGATCTTTTAATATGAAATTGTTTTAATGTTCATGTTATGTTGCACTCAAGTACTCTTGGCCCTAGGAGATGCTATATAAGACAGTAATAGTCAGATGGTGAAATCCCTCAAATTGTGAGTGCCATCTCTTATAAGCAAAATCAACTGCTCAGCCATAAAAAAGACAATTTTAAATGAACCTGCCCCTGCATATAGCTGAGGTTTAAAAAATTTTAATAGTAGTCACTTACATGTATGGCTGGTAAAAGTGGTGATTTTAGAGCAAAATCGTCTAAAGTGATTTAATTTTATTTTTTTGGATCTAATGATCTATATAGATCTATACACATAAATTTATTTGTAGTAGCAATTTCACACTTAAATAATTACTTTATTTTTAAAAATATGTTATAGTGTTGAAGGAATGAGTCTATATGGCAAGAAAGGTGCATTGTTGCTATATTTAAACATACAAGTAGCTAGAGTAAAAAATATTTGGTACAATTTTTGGTCAACTTTAAAAAGTCATGAAAAATTGAATTTTGATCAAAATCAACTCAAAATTTCTACACAATGTCAAAACGTGTGTGTGTATCAAAAAATTTATAAAAGTGGTGGATTCTCTCTTTGTCATTTTTTATAATATTTGGCCAAGTACCTTGTATTTTGGCACTCATTTTTGAGCAATTTTAAAAATCAAAAAAAATAATTTTGATTAAAATGAGCTCAAATGTTCTATACAACATAAGTATATGCATAATGTATCAGAAAAAGTATAAGAATGGAAAGTTTTACTCATAGCAATTTTTGATGATGCACCCTGTACTATGTAAACAATGCTTTGTTAAATTTTGAAGCAAATTCACCATTAAAATGCTGAGCACTATACTAAAAACCTGTGGGAAACCCTCCAATTGTGCTACACTGCTCCCCCGCCCTTATTGAGGTACAGATCTAATAATGTCAGACTACATGCACACAATAAAAGCTCAAGTATAATTTTTGTATATGAAAAATGATTATGACTTCAGCTGTTGGCTTATAGATCAATATGATCATAATAATAATAACAATTTAAGGGGTAGCATCTATCTATAGCTCACAGTTGTAGATCTACATATAGTACTAGAGTTCAATGACTTAGACCTTGTCATTTTATGTTAAAATTTATGATGAAAGCATAGTTTTGTGCTTAGATATGGGTTCTGTTGTTACCACAGTTTGTAGGGCAGAGGAGGTTGTGATGAAATTGTATGGTTTAATATCATAGCACACCCCACTCATGAAGATAATGCCAAGGGCCATGATTCTCCACTTTGTAATGTTGAGCTTTGTACTCTTTTCATCAAATGGTCAAGTTGTACCTGATTGCCCTGATAGAGGAGGTAAGCAAGAGAATCAAGTAGATTATTCATATTGAACCAAACTATTTACATGCAGAGACCATCTGCTTAGGTCACAGCACTAACAGAGCATCTC